TGCTGAAGCAAGGTCGTCTCATGTGTCTTCTGTCTTGGCTAACCTGCTAGTTTTAACCAACTTCCTACCATTTGCTGCTTTTCTTCCCTGTCCATTTTGTTGCCATCATCCATCTGCTGTCTCCTTCTGCTTCTGTCTTCGGTGTTTTCTTTACATTGTGTATTTTAATCCCTTCTTCCTCTCACACCTCTCGATACTAAGCTACATCCTCACCACCCCCCTTCCCCACACCTGAACCTTTATCTTCTGTCCCTTTCATCCTTCCTGTCTGTTCTGCACTTTGGTAAAGCCATCAGCTATGTCCCCTGCAGCCGACCATGGCCCTTTTGCCCTCTGCTCTCTGAGGCTGAGGGCAGGAACCGAGCTGCACTGAGCTGCGCTGCAAACGTGTCTCTGCTGATCTGGATCATGGACATTATGCTGAGGAGGAATAAAGGTAGCTATCAAATTAAAAATCCTGACTGATAGTGATCAGTCTACATGCAAAAATGCATGAATTGGGGTTAAAAAAAAGTCCACATTCTTGCAAAATTACTTAAAGATTCCTATTGAAGTTCAGTATGATGCATAGTACCAGCATACAAACTTTGCTTGAATCTGCAGCTGTAACAAGGGGTTGACAATGGAAAACATCAGTTAATCTATATTCATAAACACTTAGAGAACATGCACATTAAAACATAAAGGAACAAAACCCCCAATTGAGCTTTAAAAATATTTTATGCCAGCAACACTGAGAAGAGGATCTTGACATCTGCAGTTCAGTTCTCTGTTACAGCTATACTTCAAAAAACAATTTCTCCTTGATCATTCTATGTCATTGCTGCTTCTTTGCTTAATACCTATTTATGACATTCTTGCACTGTCATACTGGCTATTTGTTTAATTACACAAAATAATTTTACTGAACTAGTTTTGTAGAGATCCAGGAATAGGTAAACAGTATGCAACAACTTACAATCTAAGAGCATAGTTTCAGAATTTTAGATTTTCTCAAAACCACCCCACCAAAACTCAAAACAAAACCCCCCTATACACAGCATACTCTCTCCACTGGTAAAAGTCACTAAAAATAAATAGTAAAATAAGACAAATTTAAAACATTATGGAAAAGAAAAAACAACTTATCTAAGGAGCAAATAATTGATATGGAGGCTAAAACTCCTTTTAAACATTTTCTAAACAATACTTTAAAAACATTAAAAACTTAAAAATTAGCCCCTATGAAAATACAATTTTTTTTACATTACTGATATATTTCTAAAACATATAAAATATAGCTAAATTTAAAGCATATTATTAAAAATGCATTTGCAGTTATAATGCACAATTTACTTACGACCTATGGAGTGAAACAAATATATATTTATAAAACCTTTTTTCCTGAGGGCATAATTCAGAAGTTGCATCCTGCCAGCAATTAAATATTTTTCCTGTTAACATGCTGCTGCTCAATCACTTTACTCTTGGACAAAGAGCTATTATCATCAATCTACTTTCAAGACACAAATGAGTTTTTTTCTGTGAAAGTCTTTTGCAGTCTTCGATCAGATTTCAAGATGGGCAGTAAAACTCTTAAATTGCTGTCAATTTTATATCTATCTGCAACATGCCTGTCTTCAAAATAAAGGGAAAGCAAAATTCGTAGCACCAAACCCACATTTTCTCTAAAATACTTCATCTTCAGCAGCACTACCCATACCAAAAGCTAGTGCTAGGATACTGTGGTTTTAAGTGAGATCCTGCAAAGCTGAGAAGTGCTGGAAATGACAGCCTTGTCTCTCTTGCAAAGCCAAAACAACCACAAAAAAGTCCATTATTGTGTATAACCAGTCATGGTGATTTCCAAAGAGTCTTGAATACCAGAGATAAAATGCCCCAAGATGTTTCCAGACCCCAAATCCATCCAGACTGCATTCAGACACTACTGATATTCAGCAAAGAATGCATTTCTGGTGTTTTGCTCAAAACCAGATGCACTAGATTTGCAGCAGTTACTTAAGACAAGAAACAGCCTAATGATAAGAGTCAGTCAGCCCATGTTAGGCACTTATTGAGCCTAACGTAGCTGCTGACTAACAAAGCAGTTCATGTAACTAGGAAACTTAGACAATTCTTTTCAGAGGTGGCATTTAAATAAATTTAAAATTTAAAATGTCTTCCTGTATAGTTAGACTAGATCACTGTAATTAACACATGCAATGGTAATTTATTTACCTTTGCTAATTTTTAGAGTCAAATATAGTCTGCATTAAACAGACAATAAAGCTTTATCAAAGACCCAGAGCATCCTCTGTTATGTCTTCCACAGTGCCTATGAAACTGGATCAGTAACTTAAGGAAATGACCAGTAGATG